GAAAGGTGGTTTGAGTTTGTATCTGTTCATGTTTGCCATGTTTGTGATTGTCTCGTCTTCTGGAACTGGAGGCAGGTGGTCTCCTCCATTTGGAGCTGCTGCTGGTTGTGCTGCCATTGTTGCAGCTGTACAAGCTACCTGTGGTAGGGTCAAGGCTTGTTCTCCGTTGTCTGTGTTTGTGTGTCTGTTCCTGTTGTTGTATTGGAGCTCACCTGGATTGTTGTTACCAGGATCCTTGCTCCGCTACCATGTAAAATTCAGCAGCTGTTTGTTTGTCGTTTGTTTGTGCACGTCTCTGTATTGTTTTCCTCTGGCAACTGTCCTTAGGCTCAAGGCCTCGATCCGAGGTGTATTGTATAGCACCAAGCAATTGTACATGAACACAAAGATGGAGTAAGTGTGCTATTGTAAAGGAGCTTGTATCTTGACATCTCTCTCTCTCTCTCTCTGGCTCTCTGGTGCTGAGACCAAGGTCATTGCCTACGACTCAGATGAATGGGAGGCCCGCTTTGGAGAGACATGCCGTAAGCTGGCTGAGTCGGCGCACGAGAAGTCGGAATGACGGCGATACGCCGCTCCACTCGCAGCGGAAAGTGACTAGGCACCGTAGGCACCGTGTACATCTGTCAGCAGAAAGTGCGCATGACATGACCCTCATGCGGTGCAGAAGTCACTTCGAGTAGAAGTAACTCTCCTTATTTGCGAGAGTCTCTTCCACTCGCCTCAGTTGTACTGGGGGACTCCATCTGATCGCGGAGATGCGGGCCTTGATCCGATCCAAAGGACAAGAGACGAAGGCACCAACGAGACCAATCATTAAGAATGGCCTCCAACGTAGCGATGGCCTCCAGCCTAAGAAGATGCCCTGATCTGAACTTGTACTACTAATGAAATGGCTGTTTGCTGGACACCTGCTTGAAATGGCTGTTCGCTGGACACCTGCTGGTAGTAGTACCCTGTTTGGAATCAGTTTGAAAGGAAAGGGCCCCTGTTTCAAGGCGCCCCGGCATCACACCTCGACAGATTTTGGAACCATGAGGAACAATATGGAACAATGACATCGCGGAAGTCCAAGGCGATTATTTTTTAATGGTCCGACTATAGGTGAACGAAGTGTTTAGGAATTTACTTGGTTGCGAAAGATATATCGACCTGGACTTCTAAACACTCGCGAAGAATGGCCGCACAGGCGGCACATGTGGCCGCACCTACAGGATTCGGTGCTGACGAGCCTTGTGAATCAGAATCTGGCATAGAATCTTCAGAATGCAATGACCAAGACAAGTAGACCCACCTTGCATTCCAGACCTCACTTCTTCTCTCTGCCGAATGGCTTCGCTCCGCCCTGTCCAGGGCCTTTTTATCGATCGGGCAGGGGAGACGGGCGGGTCGAGCGTGTCTGCGACACGCTGCACGCTGGTCACCTCGACACGTCCGAGGAATGAGCTTGGTCACAAAGTGATGAGGGCAGACTGCTGAGTTTGCCATGATCAAGTAAGATTCAGCTTTGGGAAATTCAGCATGGAAGAGAAATCATATCAGGTTTTTAGGGGAGCTCAAAGATTTCATGAGGCCCAAGATTTGAAGTTCCCGCTGGGTTGGTGGACAACAATCTGTATATACATGGATGACATGTGCTTTGCCCGCATACACATGATGGGTGTCATTAGGCCTGAAGTTCTTATCGCAATTCTAAAAACCACCAACTTGCAGGGAGAACGGGGCTTGTTCTGCCCGTTTGCGCTCTCGGCTTCTCACTCCTTTTTGCTGTTTCCCGTTGAGCATTGCCCACCGGCAAAGCCAATAGATTTTAATAGACCGAGGCTGCCGGCTGCGAACCCGGACACGTACCGGTTCGGACGTTGGCGCTGATCGGCCGGCCTCCCCGATGGCGCACGGAGCGCTCGGGTGAGAACGACCGATCGCTGGGATCCGACGGATCGGATGCGAACCAAGCTTCGTCTCACGAGCCGGGATCGAATTGTCTGAGACACGTCCCGCTTCTTGCTATAGCGATGGCCATTCCTAATAGGGATGGCCTCCAACCTAGTCCTGTCCTGCTTTGCAACCAACTGCCAGGTTCGGTGAATTGGGTGAAGAACACTCGATATTCCACATGACAGTCTAGGGAGGACAGAGGGCAGGTCAGGTACTTCTTGTGACTGGAGTGAAGTTTGAAATCCTCGGTCACGCCGTCGATCAGAGGGTTCGGTCCCAGGGCGTTGGCGCGCAGGGCCGGGCGTCTTAAAACGTCTGTCGACGCTTCTCTTCGTACTTTCTATTGCTTAAGCGTTGGAATACGGCCGAAAAACAGCGTTGCATGGTTGTTCCTCAATTGGCTGATGAGACGCCTCGAACCTGCTTCTGGGCTTAGACACCCAGTCAGAGACACGGGGCACTGATCTGTAACAATCGCATTGTGGGATGTAGCAGGTCGTAGTAGCTGGTCGAATGCATCGTATCGTAAAGATACGGATGACCACGCTTTTGCTGCCCTTCTTGGCTGCCACGGCCTACAAGCTGGAGCAAATGGGTTCTGTGAGTGGTTCTGAATGATTCGGTTCTTTTCATACCAAAAGCAGAGCAATTAACATAGTGAGGTGAAAGGTTATGATATGATGATTGAGTATTTTGCTTCTTTCTTTGTTCTATAATTCCAAACCCAAAGCAGAGCTGAAGGAGCGATTCTCCACCTCGGACTGTGTGGCTTGCCTTTCCGGTCGTCGGTTCGTGTCTGACGAATCGGAGGGCTGCCCTCGGTCACTTCGGAGGGCTGTCTCGGTGGTTCAATGCCTCCGAAGAGATCAATCTCAATCTGTTTCCACCGTTTGCTCTGACTTTGGTGTTCGCAGATGACCAACACAAACGTGCCAGACGAGCCTAATTCTCAGATTCTTGATTTTGCGAACATTTGCACGCCGCTTCGGGTCAATCAGAGAGTCTACCAGGTTTTTTTTTGAGGTCGGGGGAGTCCGCGCCTGGGTGCATAAGAACGCGGTGCCTCCTTCGGTTTCGGGTTCGGGTTGGGTTGGTTTTTAGGAGAGATGGACTACGCAGCGGTTGGTGATGTGGTCACAGAGATCCATTTAGGTGGGTCTTGGATGGTCTTGGGACCTTACAGTGGAGTGTGTAAGGATACTATATAAATGATATTGATACCCTCAGCCAATGGCACAACTGTTTGTGCAATTTCCTGTTGCTCAATACATGGCGAGATCAATACTTTCGAAGAGTTGGGGAGCTTTGGCAACATCAGATGAGTTTTTTGTAACAAGAAGCTACTAGGGGCAAAGGACATCGCTGCTAGGAGCGTTCGGACGCTACAAACGGGGCTCCTGGCCTTACTACGAACGGAGCAAGAAGCTACTAGCTACTTCTAGCTACTAGCTAGTACCGCTTGCTTGCCACCTTCATCGGGTGACTTGCACCGTTGCTTCCCTGGCATCTCCGTCCGATTCCCTAACATTCCAATTGTTTGAATGGTCTTTACCACACAACCGTTGCTTTGCGGATTTTGGACCTTTCTTTCGGTCTTTGAAGGCTAGGGTACTGGATTCTATTGTTTGTTGCCTCCAGATTTCTCAGGACAGCGCGTAGAACTGGTCATCCGAATTCATCGCGCTCAGAGCGAATGATCAGACACTTTAAAACGTTGAACAGTTCGGAAGGACCTGGAACTCTGTTCGTCGTGCGAGCTTCGGCAAAAAGCACCGGAAGACTCCGTTTTCACGCGGTTCGACGAGTTCGTGCAATGACAAACGACGAGTGGTCCCCGGATTCTTGCGCGAGAAGATAGATGGGTGAAATGAGTGACTTTCAGAAGCTGGATGTCATTTTTCCATTCCTGCACCTTTTACTGTAAACTTGTGTCAGGATTCCAGGCATTAACCACTGAAGAGACGAGGTGTGCAAATGGAGATCGGCTGATCTGGCAGATGCTCCACTGAGCCACGATTTCCTTCCTGCACAATCTCCGACCTCTCCTGCGGGGTTTCCAACTCTTTCGCTGGAGATGAGAGCGACATGGTGGAATTCCCCTAAGTCGCAACTGAGCCTGAAGCTCGACCCCTACTATATTGATGGTTAGGATCCATCTTCCTTGTGGTTCCGTCATGATCACTCGAGCGCCAGTTCACCCCTGGTCGCAGTTGGTCCCCCGCCCTCCCCTCTTCTGTCGCGGGGAGAGGAATCTTCGGCTCTCCGACATGGACACCTCCGGCGGAACCGGCTCCCCCGATGCAACGTCCCCGGCGCCGGCCGTTGCCAGGTGCTTTCGGATGGCCTGTCTCATGCGGTGGTCGCAGAGCTGGGTTCGGGATCTCGGCATGTCGCGGTCCATGGGGGAAGAGGAGGACATGAAGAGACATGAGGAAATAACCCACAGATCGTCCTGTGAGAAGATCTCGCCCTTTGAGCTGGGATGATTCTTGAAGCAAAAGACTTGTGGTGAACTGACTTCCAACTCGATCCATGTTTTGTCCTTATGCTCTTTGTGGCTTTTGAGAGACCTAGGTCCGCAAAGAATGAAGAGTTCATTTTTCCATGGTATCTGCAGACTGTGCACCCTGATTTCTAGAACCCTCCACTGCCAGAATGCGCAGCTGTGAGGAAGTCTCAGCGGTTTTGGGATCGGATTTCTTAAGTCTCAAAGGCCGAAAGTCTTTTTCTCCGTTTGGACCTGACCTCTAAAGAGGAGAATTCTTTACTTTGAGCAACCCCCGCCAGCGGTGCTGCTCACGCGGCTTTTCTATCTTTTTTGTTGCAGGCTGAACAGAATAACTCGTGCATCAACCTTGTGTATTTGGAGAATTTGGACTCTCGTTGCTGAAAATTGATTTCTCTCAAACATGGGATAGCCGGATAGCGGATAATTATGTAAAATAGTGTCAAACATCTCACGAGCGATGGGTCAATTCTGACATCGGACCACATGATTGGTTTTTTTGTGAGTTCTCCACCAAAACCCATCTGATGTCGTGGGTGCGGATGCGGCGGAGCAGGTCAATGCCTGGCGCAATGGCGGAAGCCGCGTTTGCAGCCGTTGATCCAACAGCGGAGGGATCTGCTGGAGAAGAGGCGACAGCGGGCGAAAGCGGCGAAGTTAAGGCGCTAATCATTAGTGGTATGCAGCCTTCACCACACTGGTTGCACCCCAAACATCTTAAAGACCTACCCAGGAAGTACGTGGATAGCCTTTACTGTAAGCTAAGTAGGCTCAAGCTGTTCTTGACCAATTCTTCTCCCGGAAACAAAATGATTCGACACGAGGCTCCTACTTCATCAGGAGCTGCGGGGTGATCAAGATCCTCAGGTGGCTGGGCACAGTGCGGTCGACCGTCGACCAAACAGGAGGGGCAGATGGCAGACGATGGACACGGCAGGGCTAATTAGCCATTGGCTGTTTAGATCTGGGAAATCTGTACACTGGGGGTCGTTTAGCAGGGGCTTTAAAGACAACAGAAGGGGTAGGCACCCACTTCACGAATTCCTAGTGCACAGGCTCATTTGCACAGAGTCATGTAATTACAGGATAGGAGGTTGAATCAAGCACTTTCATCCCTTGATGCTGTCGATTCCAACTATCCTCAGGTTGAGATTGCGGCCCTAGAAACCATGTATGTTAAGCTTTTTTCCCCAAACAGGTTTACCTGTGAGGGGTTCTTACTCCTTTTAAAGGGGTGCATGCTCGGGCCGGATGATTTTGAGTTTGTCTCCGGGCTTGTGTTCCTGGCCGCATGATTTCACCCTTGTCTCCCACTTGTCTCCCACTTGTCTCCCACTTGTCTCCCAGTAAGCTCTGGATGCTCTCAGTGCTCTGGCCGCATGATTTCCCATTTGTCTCCCACTTGTCTCCCACTTGTCTCCCAGTAAGCTCTGGATACTCTGAGTGCTGTGGCCGCATGATTTTATACTTGTGTCCCATTTGTCTCCCACTTGTCTCCCAGTAAGCTCTGGATGCTCTGAGTGCGCTGGCCGCATGATTTTATACTTGTCTCCCATTTGTCTCCCACTTGCTCAGTGCTCTGGCCGCATGATTTTATACTTGTCTCCCATTTGTCTCCCACTTGTCTCCCAGTTGTCTCCCAGTAAGCTCTGGACGCTCTCAGTGCTCTGGCCGCATGATTTCACGCTTGTCTCCCATTTGTCTCCCATTTGTCTCCCAGTAAGCTCTGGATGCTCTGAGTGCTCTGGCCGCATGATTTCAGACTTGTCTCCCACTTGTCTCCCAGTAAGCTCTGGATGCTCTAGTGCTCTGGCCGCATGATTTCACACTTGTCTCCCACTTGTCTCCCAGTAAGCTCTGGATGCTCTGAGTGCTCTGGCCGCATGATTTCACACTTGTCTCCCACATGTCTCGACTTGGCTCCCAGTAAGCTCACTTGTCTTCCACTTGTTTCCCATGGCCTGTCTGGATGCTTTGTATCCCCGGGCTTGGCTGGATGCTGGGCCGATTAATTTTTTGATGCGCACAAGGTCGTTGCTCTGTTGTATTTCTGGTGTTTCGAGTTTGAAAGCTGCATTGGCTGCACTGGGCCGTCGATGAGTTTGCCGGCTCAGATCATGAATGACGCATGGTTTAGTGTTGCAGTTTGCCAAAGGGACAGCTCGCCATCTTGCGACATGTTATCAGACAAGCTTTGTTACTGATTGCTTTTCGCGAGTGTTGCAACATGCGGAAAGCACGAAAAGCTCCATCTCAATGGCTGCCCGTCTGGAAGTGCCAGTTTCAGAAGGAGAATCCTAAGAAGGCAGGCCGTCATGAGAGCTTGGTTTTTGGATCCAACAACATGGATATATAGTCGATCACAGATAGATGGCATTTGGCCAGCACCTATTAAACGACCATCTAAGACGGAAAAAACCCTCCTCAGGACTCCAACGTGAACACAAACACTAAGATGGCACAGTTGCAAATGCAGTCGCACATCGTCGTTTTAATTGCTGACATTTCACGCGATTACAGCTGACAAGAAAGATATGCACATAGATGGCATATGCAGAGAAGCTTGCTAATAAGATCTTTTTTGGCTGATGTGAGAAGACGGTCTAGACTTGGAGGCCATCATTATTAGGTATGAGGCCATCACTATTGGGCTGGCGGCCATCGCTATTAGGCCAGAGGCTATCACTATTAGGTATGAGGTAATCACTATTGGGCTGGCGGCCATCGCTACTAGGCCAGAGGCCATCGCTAGTAGATTGGAGGCCACTGCTGCGGGCTGGAGGCCATCGATTAGGGTTAGAGGCCGTCGCTATTGGGTTTCAGGCCATCGCTATTGAGTTGGAGGCCATTGCTTCTAGTCTAGGTAGGCTGATGTTTGCACTGTCCTCTCTTCTGATTCCTCCTTCATTTTAGTTTGCCCTCTCTTCTTTACCCTTCTTCCCCTTCCCCCTTCCGGCCTCCCCTCTCATCACCTGGCATCCTAAGTCTCCCACCTCTCCCGGCTGTTACCTTTCCCATCTCCCATAACCATCCAGGCGCCCTTCTCCGCCTTCCTGCTTTTCTCTTCCTCTTTCCTTTGGCATTTATCCTCTACTCTGCCTCTTTCTTTCTTTTTGTCTTTCCTTGTTCTTTCCTTGCTCTGCTCTTTCCTCTCTTCT